TAATTTTTGTAGATTTTTCTGAACAGTTTTACTATATATTGCTTTAATCACCTAATTAACTAAATAAATTAGAAAAGGGCATTAAATAATTTATTTAGAAGTTGGCACTATACTTTCTGCTGTTCCTTTGGTATGTGCAACAAGTTGGTAAACTTGGTTTGGTCCAATTATGCTTTTGCATCATCATTAAATAATTAAGTTAGTAACCCTGTCATTTCTGGACAGATTCTAGGTTTACTGGAATTCAATTTGGTTAACGTAAGAATCATGCTTTGATGTTTACAAATGATTTGTAGAGAATTTCATAAGATTTCCAGAATGTCCTCTTGCAAGTCATTTGAATTTATAGAACTCTGGTTATGATTGAATTAAGGAACTACCCGTGTGCATATGAAACTTTAACTGTTGTTTTAAGTATGCCTTTACTATTTCTAAGTTTGTGGTAATGTTCCTAGGTGTTAGGCCTTTAACTGAAGATGAGCATCTTTATCTTAGGTTATGCAAGTTAGGTAAGTTGATCTCGTTCTTCAAGTTAAGTTAGATACACGTTTTAAAATGATTTGAATAGAGCTATTCTTAATCGGTAAACGAGTGTCCAGTGATGTTTTCGTTAAACACTTACTGTGCTTCATTCATCATGAGCATCATGTCATTCCTTATGCATCCATGATATTTATCTTGTGCACCGGCATGCAATAGGTGTACCGGAAGGAGTGACCCTACTGGAATTCAAGGAACCGAGCGAGCAGCAGCAGTCGACACCGGAGATTCAGGAGGAGCAGCCTTTAGGAGAGGTGCCAGACGAGGTCGCCGTTGAGTGCCCGGATCACCGTCCGTGCAACTTTGTGAAAGGCAAGCCCCGGAGCATATTAAGCCTCCTAATTTTCGAAATGCAGTTACAATATTATTGTTACATATATATATTATTGCATTAAGTTTAGGCGTTGGATAGAAACACTTGCTGCATTGGTTATCCAATCCTTGTCTAGATATTGATACCCTAAATCCTATGTAGCTTAGGCTCGTGTAGTGCTTAGCCCTGCTTTAACACGGTAGAAGTCAGGTGATTTCCTGTCACCTGCGAGATATAGGAAGATACATATGGCACGGTTGGCTATATTTGTTATCGTGGAAAAGAACCAGTCTTAATTTGAAATGAAGACCGGACGGAGGCTTGCCGGTTTGCAGTGACTCCGTCTGTGTCGCTTAAGGACTGAATCTTGGAGCCTTTCCTGTTCATGTTGAACGCATGCCTCTCTCTTAGTTGGCTGGGTCTGGAGACCGACCACGAAGCCGAGTAGCTCACCTCAGGCCGGGAGTCGATAAGTATAAAGTGCGCCTCGGAAGGAAGCCGTAGGCATGAGTCCAAGGGCAGGTGATTTAAAAGTCCTGATCATCCTGGCAGAAGGGTAATCCCTGAGAGTGCTGGCGCTGATCGAACCCACGAATTTGGTTCCTGAGTTGTTCCAAAGGTGACCCACGGCTACCCTTGCAAAGTATGCCAGGGTGAGAGTTAGGAATACCCCCTCAGCTGAATTGTAATTCGATTCGAGTTGCCGTCTCTCCCGGTTAGTGAGAACTTGACGGGCTTATCTCCAAAGTAGATACACTAAATAACATAATGGTTCAGAAATGATGCTATGATGATGACAGCCTTATTATACCTGCTATGGTTAATATTGATTGCTCCTAATAAGTGAGTGCTCTAGTATAGGTGCTAATCTAGTGGACAGGTAAATGATGATAATCTTGATGCTAAGTTTAAATTGGTCACTATATTCATAAGCTCTTTTATGCAAATGTGTCAAGCTAGCCCACCTCTTAAGCCTTGCATGATCCTTAGTGTCTTTTATTTCTGGTTTTGTCGAGTAAGTCTTGCTGAGTACCTTCTCGTACTCAGGGTTTATCTCCCACCTGTTGCAGGTGACCAGTTCTACTTTGGTTGCTGCAAGTATTGCCTTCTCCCGGCTGGGAATGAAGACTAGACCATTGGGCACGGTCTCTCCTAGTTCTCGTATCTGAAGATGCTTTTGTGGGACATGACTAAGATCTGGCAATGTATTTGAAACTTTGAAGTTATGTACTAAACTATATTGCTTCTGCAAATTTAAACTTGGTTTGTAATATTTTATTTTGAACTCTGATGGATATAATCCGAATGCTACTTGTGAAATGGTGTAACGAATGATGTGTTGTGTTGAATCACTACGGTCTTGGTTTGTATGTCGAGAGTTGGTTGAAATCCTTCGTGATTTCCGGAACTACCGGGATTATGGGAGCTTAAGTACAGGAATTTGATCGCTTCGGTGATTGTTTTTGTACTTACGTTCTTATGATTTGGTCGGTTCTGTTACATTCGGTCCATCTTAGATGCCATTATTTTCAAAGGCCCCTGCGTTCAAAGCTTGGCATACCTGAATGGCTTGCTTTTTAATTGATTGCCAAGAACTGAACGGTTCTAATAGTCAATTTTTCATGGTAACTCGGCCTGTAGTGTGTGATCTGTGTATCTTTTCTTTCTTACATGATTTTTTATTGCCGTTTTGATCGGTCCAGAATTGAGTTAGCATGCACAAATGTGTCTAGAGTCTAATAAAAATAGAATTAGTCCCATCTCATTATGGACCGAAGGGGGCTGGTATTTTTCCAAGAAATCTCTAGCCAACCTTCCCCCAAGAGGTTTTTCTTAACACCAATGAATTATATTAATGCTAGAGAAAAACGATAGCTCCAAGAATTTCTTTGTTCCCAACGCCTCCTATTTAGAGACTGTGGCTAAAGATTATGTGCTGAAGTTCAAACAATAGAATTGCAGGATTCATTAGCTGTGTCCTTCCTGGTGTCTTGTCTGAACTGAAGAGTTACAACTTACAAAACCATAATATTAGTGTGTAGCACCTTTATTGTCATGTCACTCCTGCACCGCAGTTGAGCCATCCAAGACCACTTCGCCATTGTCAGTTCCCATCACACCAAGGCAATGGGCGCAACCCAGTAATCCCCAACCCCACAGGCTGTTGGAGAACATGACCTGCAGGATACGGAACCTTGCCGTGGAGAATGGAGATAACTTGGTCTGTTTCTTCTCTCTTCATGCAGGTTCTTACGTTCCTGATGTCACACAGGAGGATGTACCCATGCCGGTTTTGATAAATCAATCAGCAAACTGGAGTATTCTTGAGTTAGATTAGCGTTTAGCTGGGACTAGAAAGGATCTTGGCATAGAACCAGTTCGGATAGAATGCATGAGTCTTCTTGGACTAGAATTGTCAGCTCTACTGTCCTCGATGAGTTTTAAAATCTCATGATACTTCTCTATATACTATTCCGATCAGCTAATAGTTTCTTCTATTGAGGCTTCCACTGAATGACTGGATTCGTCACTCCATTGCTTCTCTTGTCTGTGACGAAATCCACCAAGTGTGAACTGACTGGGCTACCTTTTTGTTTATGTATGATCTGGATATCTGGGTGAGCAGCATAGCTGCATGTTGTGAACTGTATGCTTCCTGTTTCATATTAGCACATCATGGATTGTTTTAGTGTTTCGTATGGAAATTTGGACCAGATTCCTAACAACAGACAAATAACTGTTAACAGTAATGAATTCTGGTCTTGCATGTGATCTATGAATAGATCTCTATGGATTGCAAGAACCTGTAATTAGTGTTATTGATACTAACTGACTCTGAGTTCCTTCATATGTACTTTATAGCACTGCTTCACCATCTGGCTTATAGAAAGAAAGTCCTGGTAGGGCGCCGCGAAGCGCGCTTTCTTTCTACTTTCTAGTAAGCTAAAAACCATGTATGAACTTAAGTGTTTGCAGTCGCAGAGGTCGAAACTATTTTCATTTTTTTTAGAAACAATGACTTAGCAGTGCTTGTGTGAGTTGGTGTTTAGTTTCTAGCGATCCTTGATCGTTCCTATGCAATTGCATTCATTTTTAAACATATCAGCGATTAAAATCCATGCCATACAAAATTTAATTTTGAATATGGAGTACATTTTAAATTTCCATATTTTCTCAGGCATTCGTTACCAGGTTTCATAATTCATAGGCTATTTATCGTTCACGTGCGTGTCAAGGTGTATGTGAATGAAATCTTACAACTGCAATTTTTTAATAATTTTAGTAACATACAGGTAGTTTTGCAAAACTAATTTAAAATGATGAAAAATCAGTTTACTCAAGTCATGCATAAGTATTTTCGCAGTCACAACCAAAGGACCATCATACTAGGAAAATATGTGGTGAAAAGATGGAAACAAATTAAAAAATGCATTTCCATGACTCAATTTTTTTTGAAACTTGGCACATTATAGTTCACCCATATACCCATACTTAATATTTGAGATGCAAAATCATTTTAAAAAATTCATACGAAAATAATAAATTGCAAGTGCATGTCTAGTAGAAGACAAAATTTCTAGAATTTTGTCTTTTGTGCACATACGAAGGCTCTGTTTGGATGTAGATATTCAGACTGAGAAATTGAATTGGCCTAGAATACCAAAGCTGAGGGGAATTGGAAATGGCCTCAAATACCATTGCTATTGTTTGGATGTGCAAGTAGTTGATAACTGGAATCAACCAATTCCAATTCCTGTTTGGATGTATAAACGTTGAATTGTAGTCTGGGTTGTCTACAATGATGTAAATACATTGTAATATGTATTTCACAACTTGCATATTTATTGGATGATTATATTATCACGTTACACACAAAAAACATGAAAATATTCAAAAAAAATAGTAGAAACTAAAATAATATCATTAAAAACTTGGAAAATAATCGATGACAACAGCACATAAATGTTGATCACAAGCATCTATTATAGAGTCAATACTTGATGATCAATAATCCAACTGTCTTGCAAGTGCCACGACATTTCACAACACCTAATTTCAAAGGGGCCATAACAGCAAGCATACATAGGCAGTTCCATATTACATAACAGCAAGCGTACATTACATCTCTTAATCAGCCACCATTGCTCTAATTCAACGTAAGGAGCCATTCTTTCCTGAATTTCATAGGCAATTCCATAAGCGCTTGGAATAAACGCTCATTAAGGATCAGCTTCCCATAAGCCCGCAAAAGGTCACATCTAGCTAAATCTGGTATTTGTTCAAGTGCAGCAAATATTTTAGCAGGAGAAGTGACCTGAGGCAATGGTAATGGCCCGGTGGATTTTAGAGCATCTCGAAATGAAGTCTTCGTATCTGCAAGCATGCAAAGAATTGCTTCACTAGTTCGCTACTTTTTTTGTGGTAAATCTGGGGATGCTTCACTACATTCTTCAGGTGAATCTTGTGCACTCTCAGCAGCTGTCTTGGCACCATCACCATTGGCATGATCTGTAGAATAAATAGTGTTGATTGCATCCCAATTCTTCACCACCTTGTTCTTGTAACAAGCTGCAGCCTTGTTATTCTACACAAAACAAAGACACAGTACAAGTGACTTGTCTTATTATAAAAGTAAAACAGTGAGAAACCAAATATCCATGTACTTACCGCCACATATCTTACCTTCAATCGGAATGAGAAACAACGAACACTTGACAGAAGTAACCTGCTAAATCCAGAGAAAAGTGGTTAGGGTTTGAAAAGAGTGAATCGATGGAGGGAGAAGAAAAGAAGCCTCAATCGATTTGGATGCAGTTAGGTGATTGGGAAAGAGAACAAGGATGGATCCGCGAGGGAGGCGCAGATTAAAGATGGAGGATTCAACAGGAAAGGGGAAGTAGATGAGAGTAGCAAGAAGGCGTACCTGTATAGAGGGAGAATGTCGGAGGATGGTCGGAGATGCACGAGAACAAGGACGCTGGGAGATAGCGCTTTCTCCGTGGGGGTCAACCTCCCGTCGCCTCCACCATCGCCGCTGCCTCTCTCTTGTGAGTCGCTCGCTCTTCTTTTTCCCCGAGTGCGTAGAGTCGTGGGTTGAGAAGGGGTACGCGCGGGGGTTGGGAAAGTGAGGGGAAGCGATTTCGGGCCAATATAGAGCGGGAGACCTCGGAATTTTGGGCGGGCTCTTACCTTTGTGTGGGAAAGGTCCGCGATATTGGGCGCCAATGCCTCGGACCGATTCCAGTATCATCCAAACAATGGAATTTGAGGGTACCAAATGCCAAAGCCAAATCCAAGGTCCAAATATCTACTTCCAAACGGGACCTAAGTGAATTTGTCATTTTCATATGAAATTTTCCAAACTGATTTTGCATCCCAACTTTTTCGTGTGTGTACATATATGGATGAACCATAGATATGCCAAGTTACAAAATCTTGAGTTACATAAGTGCATTTCTCTAAATTAGTTTCTATGTTTGTATGGAATATGTGGTCTCCCCACCCCCACCCACACACATATTTCCCCCATCATTTGCCAGTTGCCAACTGGAGAAAAGACCTGGGGTTATATTCAGACTACTGTAGCCACATTTTATTGTATTCCAAGATACCACCCTTAATTGTAGCTTCTTCTAACCGTATATCACCTATGACGAATAAACAACCAGAAGTCCGGAACAATGTGTGAAAAGATAAAATTACAGATTGCCAAGGAACAAACACTAATGTCAATAATGGTATTACACCTCAAATCTGTTATGAGTCTAGTACTTAAATTTAATCAATTGGCAAGGGCAACCACATGGTTATACCACATTACCACTTCCAAGCCTGTAAGTTACTTCTAGACTGCACAACGCGGCAACATTCTTCCCACGAGTGATCTATGGCCTTTAGAGAACCTTATCGTTTCTTCCACTCCACTTCTCAACAAAAAGATATGTGACCACTTAAAAAAGGTCTCTAATAACAACCACAGCGGGACCGGTAGGACCAGTAAATCCGGTAAGTAGAAAACAGTACATACCTTGGTGCACACAAGGCTATCTGATATCATGTAACTTCAATAGCTACAGATGTGCAGCTATATACTCCTTATGTTCACAAACTGTTAGTGAACCCTGATAACAATGCTAGAAGGCCATTTCCTGAAGAATTTTGAGTGTTGTTTGATGTACCTAAAATGAGAAAATACGGTCAAACCATGCCCATCATGATTGGCATACAAGAGTAGATTATAAGCCAAGAGATCAGTCAAAGAATGGACCAGTAAGGTGCTCACCCATTCCAGATGTTGAGCTGTAATGCCAGATGTGTTACTTGCATATACGCCACCCAGGACCTTACAGCCATGCCACAAAATTGCAGACAAAAGAAAAACGCTATGTCATGCTAAAAAAAGTGAATATGTTGTATATAAAATGAAAGATGAGATCAACACCTTGGAAACAGTCTCAAGGAACATTCCAGGGCAGACTGGCCGTGGCTTGTGGCCAGATACACTTCCCTAGAGGTCACATAAGCATGTGCAGCGAATACTTATTAATGCAAAATATCTGCTAATTTCTGAACATACTAATGAACCAATTTGAACTCAAAACTCACCCTTCCTAATACTCCAGTTAGATTCTCCTGTTCAGAATGCGAAGCAGCACTTGGTTCAATGTTATCAGCACCTTCCCCTCTGCCATTCATAACATCCTTTATCATCCTTTCCAATGCCTTCCCAGGTTTAAGAGCAACGAGCTTGCTCAAAAAGTTTACCTGTCAATTTAACGTGAAAGAATACCTTGAATTCAATGACATATAAATGAATGATCTTGATAAATCGTTTATAGTTCGAGTATATTTTCCAGCCAGTAAAAAACAGCCTTCCTTCTAATTATAGAATAAGTTTTAACTTCACTTGCCATTACCCACAAGTCTTTAGTGCAAACTTTTGTTTTTCAGTTGCCAATTTCTTGCATCTTTCTTGCCAATTTCTCTAAGAACAAAATATCCCTGGTTGATTGATAGGACACCTGCCACGGGGACTCTATCACTAACATCACTAGCTGTGTGACCCACTAAATTCACATCTGGCTGATCTCAATTCTCGTTCATTGTAGATGACACCATGTAACAAGCATACACAAATCAGGCAAGCAACACGTCGAGAGCGACTGGGAGACTCAACCTTCTTCCTCAATTCACTAGGGCCACCCAGATCTGGCCCATTCCCTCCCCCATCTTCGGCAACCTTGCTGGTTGGTGGGAGAGGGGTTGGCCTCAACTTCTTTCCCCTTGTTCCCCTCGCTAGTTTTAGAAATAAGGCAAATTTTGCTCTGGGACATTGGAAAAACGTGGTTTTATCTACATCACACTACCAACATCAAAATTCGCCGAGTACGATTATTGGATCACGTTTGTTTTGTAACACACCTCATGCAATAGAATATGATTTTCGTTGTTTCTGGAGGGAGAAGATTCTTTGAGTGGACGATTTTGCCCCTAGCTCGGCCAACATGGTCTGACCAAACCCATTAACCCTAGCCCGTCGCTTTCCCTTTCTCTCCCTGTCTTCTTCCTCCTAAAACCACTCACTCTTCGTCCTCTCTAATCCCTCTCATCCGGTCCTTGTTGAAACCCTAGCCACTAGAGGGCCAGCAGAGGTGGAGGATGGCGGCGAGTTCTCAATCTGCGTCGGCATCAGGCCGGCCCTCTCTTTCGGCATTCAGAGATGCTCAAGGGAACCTTCCATTAGTGCAGTGCAACCTTTGTGGCAATAGGCAGGTCGGCCGGGTATCGAGCAAGCTGCAGAGCTTAGGGCAGAGGTTCTACAAGTGTACTATTTGAGCATGTAAGTTTGTAGATTGTTGGCACAGAAATCCCCTGCACAGGTGGTGAGAAGAGAGCACACGAGCATAGCACTGCACAAGTCTGAAACTCTGAATGTTTGCTGCTCTTAACTGATTTGCTTCATTGCATTTCCTAGTCTTATATACACAATACTAGTACCTCTACGTGGTATACTAGTACACCTACTACATGTACTACTAATACATGGCTGAGTCAGCCTCAACAACTACCATGGCTGATGTATGCCACTACTTATCTAGTTACAATCTAGTACTAAGAGGTGATGGCCTATTGCCATACCTCAACAGTAGTCAACAGAGCTGACCGAGTGCCAACCCTGCTGCTGCAGCAAAAGCAAAGAGTGTGTTAGACCAGCGCCTATAGGGCTGGCCATGGGCCTAGGCGCCAACGCCTGGTGGCTGGGCTGCCTTTGGTATTATAGTAGTTGATCTCCCAGATTAGGTAAGGATCTCCGTTGATTGGGTGTGTTCTATAAACCCTACACCGATCTTTGCCTATATATGTTGTACCCCCTTGTACACATTAAATCAATCTACTATTCGTGTGCCATATTGACTCACATGGTATCAGCCGCCTAGGTTAGGTCTTTTCTTCCGCTGCCCTACCTACTCGCGCGTCGGCCCTCTCGTCGTGTAGCGCCGCCATGCTTGCAACACCTCCATCTACCCCCAAGTCCGGGGATGTCGATGCCTCCTCGGCTGGGCTCACTGGTGACTAGGCTAACGAGGCCGTCGCCACCGCTCAGTGCCCTGAATGCGAGCGCTAGGATGCGCGCGATGCCACCTTAGCGCGCACCCTCTAGGCCGAGGAGGAGGCCACAACCACTGCCAAGGACCGCGACGCCGCTGCCCAGCGCGCCAGCGACGCCCTGGCGCGTGCATCCAAGGAACGCGCGACCGCTGCTGCCACTGCCTCTCCGGGATCCTCCGAGATAGTATTTGATTGTATACAAGTCTTTGCAGGGCGTTATATATGTGGCAGAACCGCCCGAAGTAACACACCTTCGGAGGCGCTCGACTTCCACCAGACACTAAGCACCCTAAAAGCAAGCTACATCGGACGGATTTCGTCGAGCACACCCCAAGGGAGAACTCGAATAATCCACGTTTTTCTCTAGGATCCAATAATGAGAACGAGATTACAATACTTAGTCTATTTCATACAACCAGAGTCTTAGAAATACATTATAACAGCACCAAGTTCAGAGTGCGGAAATTAAACAGCGGAATTAAAATAAACATCTAACGGTAGATTACAAGGATCCGTCTGTGCCCATCAGAAAAATCCTCCACACAACAACTACTCTTCAAGTTGCACCTGCAACAGGGGTAAATAAACCCTGAGTACACAATGTACTCGCAAGACTTATCCGACTAGTGGGAATAATTTCCCAACTCCAAAGGATATGATAAGCTTTATGGGTTGCTGGGTTTTCTTTTTGTGGAAAGCAATACTAGTAGTGGATCCTTATGTATGTTTCTTATTAGCAGTCATGATTAGTTCATTCTCTAACCATTCTAAGTAAGCATATGTTCTACTTTTAAGTAAGGGTTGAGCAAACAGATCCATTTCATCATCTTTCATCTTCCAGTTCTTACTACAGTGCTAGATTGTAGACAAGTCGTACCAGATTACCCGGCAATTCGCGAATCAATGTGCCCAGCAGGGTATCCCAAAACACACTCCCCGCTTGTACCCCTGGCACAAGCAGGACCAGCACATCACCCTCTTGTTAAGGGGTCCAGGTCCTCGTCCAAACTTGGACTCCAAGCCCCCACACCTGAGTCCCGGACTCAATGTGGTGCTTAGACCTCCACCATCCCTGCCTCCAATCAGTCGGTCCAGAAAGAGCCAAAACCCACGACAAGAGAGCAACGAGCCTTCTCAGCTCCCATAAACAAGTATGTGCTCAGGATAATAAGTCTGTGACCTAACTAGAATCCAATGTAACGGCCGGTCCTTAACCGACACGGACAGGGAAAACAGTGTAACTAAGCTATGCCCCGTTGGCCGCGGGACACAACCCCTTACACCCACCAATACCCGTACCATATCCCTGCCCGGTCTCTATTTTTCCTTTCACCATTTTATCATGAGAGTGATAATAATAATCACCTATTGAGAGTAATGGCAGGTTACTCACGCTATCGAAAGTCCTAAGCATAGCAGCTACTCGACCTATGCTAGTAGGACTCATATGTAGGTATATCTATGCATGTAGTTTCCATAAAATGCCTGCAACATAAATGCACATCACACACACACACACACACACACACACACACACACACACACATATATATATATATATATATATCCAGTGACCATTCAAAATAAGGGTTATGCACTGGGGCTTGCTTTGGACAGGCGTGGTGTCAGCAAAGTCAGCAGCTGGTGGCTCTGAGGCTCCCTCCTGGACGAGGACCTCCTTGTACTCTGGCTCGCCCACGGTCACGAACTCCACCAATACGTTCTCTACATGCATGCAATGATGGTGCAACATATAGTATTACGACAACAACAACTCTTAAAATAAGAATACATCTATCAAGCTACTAAGCTAACTCTCATGATTAAGATGCTAAGCTACCCATCCTTTCCACTAAATAGGTATGAAACATTCGAGTATTATCTTAGCAATCAAAATGCATTTCTCACTTTATTTACGATTTCATATATACTAAAACAAGGAGTACTTAGCTACCATATTGCTCAACCTATTCTAAGGCTACAAAATTATAGTGAGCACATAATAATCTAATGAACCTACTGTAAAAATTTCATGGCCAAAGCTATTAACTAATTGCCACAAAGATTCCTATAATTATTAATCTAAATAACATTAAACACTTTCAAATGATTTAATAGACCTTAGCATCAACACAGACATGTATAAACTAATCATACCACCAGATAGACAATATTTTTAGGAACTAAACATAATTTATTTCATAATTTTTGGACATCTATGCGAATTGATATTAATTTTCAAAGTTCAGCTTAGAATGTAAAATATAAAACCAGTTCTAATCCCTTAAGAAAAAGGAAAAACGATTTCCCCTCGCGACCCACCACTGCGCGGCCCGCGCGGTTGCGGCCCAACGCGGGATGGCCCACACGGGGTGGCCCGCGCGCGACACATATGCAAAAACGCCCGTAAACTTTGGACAAACTAACCGCAGTCCATGTCAGTATTCCTAGAGAGAGCAACTATGCAATAAAACCCTCGGAAATACCCTCCTTTACAATGGCGTGGTCCTCAGCCACCCACGCGCGCGCCGACACGGAGGCATGGTATTGGACGGCCACGCCAGCCAGCTGAGACCCATGCTGGCTCCACTAATGGGCCGACCCCTGTCTACAACCCTAGCACCTACACTAGCCTTGGTCATAGGAGCGACAGAGCTCGCGAAAGTGGCGACCACGGTGCGCGGCCATGCGCGACAACGACGCGACCATGCCGGCCAGCCTCAACCACCGTGGGGAGAGGTAGCTAATGCTAAAGCTTCACTATCGTACCCAGGTTGCGGCGGTGGTGATGGTTTGGCCGAGGATTCCTCGAACCGAGCTGGCCACGTGCGGGTGGTGGAATGCGGCAGCGCTCCGAGACAACGCAGCCACGTCCGTGGCTACGGTGAGGCGGAGAGGTACCAGTGAGGTGCGCAGGGTGAAGTGGAGGTGGAGGCGGAGCTCGTGGTGAAGATGGATTGACGAGGGGTGGTGCGGCGGGTGGCTACCCTAGGCCACGGCCGGTTCCGACCTTAATGGCACAGCGGAGGGGGAACTTCCAAATTGGAGTTCGTCGTGACTGAATTCAAAGCAGGGTGGGTACAGTTGGCATGTGGACGTCCAGGCGCATACACGGGCACATGAAATTGAAGGTGAGCACCTGTGCCCAAACACAC